TTTTTTTTTTTTAAATAAACATCTTTGAAATTCTATGCATTATAAAACATCATTGATATCGAAATCATACTTGAATTCTATGCAATTATTATTCTTGTCCGATGTTATGAAAAACAAATCATCCAGAAATGTAACAAAATGATAAGGAATTTTAAAATTTAAATTTTAAATGAGACATGTTTTTACTTGAATTCTATGCAATTAATATTGTCCGATTTTATGACAAACAATTCATTCAGGATTTTAATGTAACAAAATGATAAGAAATTTTAATATTTAAATTTAAATTTGAAATGAGACTTATTTGAAATCTACCTGTATGATTTTATTGCAAAATACATCAATTAAGGATTAATTATCCTTTGACTTTTCTTGTTATTAAATTTAGTAAATAAGATGATTTTTTATAAGATATAGATAAGGAAATACTACGGTCCGTTACAGAACTATTTCGTCGGGTTTGTAACCGTTAGATCATCATGTAATCATCGGAGATAGTTGATATAACAGTTAGAAACTCTGATGGAATGGTTCTCCAACATCTTCACACAATATAATATTCATTAAAATGTACAAGCATGGAGCGCGTGGCCGTAGAACATAACATAAAACCAGGGGCTACCTAAAAACGTTGGCCCATTGCGCGATACTGGACTGTCGCTGGCCGGAGTTAGGTTGGTGAAAATCTGTGCGACCACCATTTCTTTTTTCCCTTACCTACTTTCTTGATCTCCACTGTTCTGTTAAAAGTTGTTTCTTTTTTTTTTTTGTGCGTTTAGTCGTCTCTTTTCTGTCTGAATTCTAGGCCCTTTTTGATTAATTTGAGGGCTATGGATTTCCTGGCAACATCTGAAGGCCAGCTGTTTGTTGGTGTTGCTGTTGCTCTTATCGCAATTGGTGCAGCATACTTCTTGTTGTCTCCGAAGAAGCCCAAAGGTTCGTTTTTGAAGCTGATCTATTGCAATGGTGTTAGATGAATGCCAAAATTTGTACTCTTTTTCAAGGCTTATTTATGTCTTTTGATGAGTAATTTTCGTGGGTTTTGCTGGTTGCTTGCATATATAGCTTAATGGGTGTTCTGTAATTGTGTTTTTTTTTTCCTCATTAGAGAGATCTCATATAAGTTTTGCTATAGAGCCATGAGATGGCTCGGCTTATGGAGCCATCCACAGTTATTCACAAATAGTGTATTAACACGTGTCCTACAATAAATGCATTTTGGACAAGTGTCAATACACTAAGTCATGGATGGCTCCATAAGAAAACCATCCGATGGCTCCATAGAATTTTTGTATAAGTGTAAAGATCCGAGCTTTTTTTGCATTCTTGGGCGTTTGTTTCTCGATGTGACCTTATTTGTTGTTACAGATCCTTTTTTGGAATAAGTTCTTGAGGATAAGAAAAATGTGTTATTGGGCATTCGTTTTTATTTTAGTTTAGTTTTTTAGTTTTCTTTTCATCATTTGAGCTCTAGTGCATGTAAAAGATCTCAAACGTTTTGTTTGTTTTTGTATTATAATCTTTATGATTAATAATGTTGTGTGTTGCATAGTGTGCTTGGATCCTGAGAAGTTCAAGGAGTTCAAGCTTGTCAAGAAAACACAAATTAGCCATAATGTGGCAAAATTCAAGTTTGCCCTTCCTACGCCTACCTCCGTTTTGGGCCTTCCTATTGGCCAACACATAAGCTGCAGGTTAATAATATTTTTGTAGCTCGTTGTCATACTCATGAAATCCACATTTTTTTTCTTGCGTTATTCGACTTGTTGTATTTGTTTCAGTTTTAGTTGTTCGAACAGCTGTTGTAACTTATTCTCAATATTAGCCGATCCGTATCGATTTTATATTTGCAGGGGCAGGGACAGTCAAGGTGAAGAGGTTATTAAGCCATATACTCCAACAACCTTGGATTCTGATGTTGGATATTTCGAGTTAGTAATAAAGGTGCTTAATTATGTATAATGCCATCCATTTGTTGTGTTGTGCCCTCTTGCAAATGGGATGATGATAAGTACTTCCTTACATTTTTTGGTTGTTCTCATTTATATGTTTTATTTTGTATGCAATGATAGATGTATCCCCAAGGAAGAATGTCTCATCATTTTAGAGAGATGCGTGAAGGTGATTATTTGTCTGTGAAAGGACCAAAGGTACAGCGTGAATCCTTTTTTTTTTGAGTAATTTATTGCTTTGTTAAACATTTTCAACCTGTATTATCGGTATCGACCAATTATTCGTGAATCTGGGGCATTATCTACTTAGTCAATTTGGTTTTCATCGATCCAAGTGGTGTAGATAAATTTCCGTTTTTTTTTTTGTGTGTGTGTGTGTGTGTGTGTGTATACATCTCAAAGCCAGCTCTGATTTCCATCTCCTTTTTCGATATTAGGGTCGTTTTAAGTATCAACCAGGGCAAAAGAGGGCATTTGGAATGCTTGCTGGAGGGTCTGGAATCACACCAATGTTCCAGGTTTTTATTTATTATACATTATATCTAAGTCGATTTGATTTTCCAAAATTATATTATTGATATATATATATTAATCTTGAAAGATTAGCAAATACTTCTATGGGTGCAAAAGATGACTGGATCGCTTTGCAACATATCTATGTTTTAGGTTGCTAGAGCTATCCTTGAAAACCCCAATGACCATACAAAGGTGCATCTGATTTATGCCAATGTTACATATGAAGACATTCTGCTGAAGGTACTTTGATATTCCCTTTTATTTTGTCCACTTTGCCAATGAATGCTTTGTGTGGTTGCAAGATTTCCGAATTCTTAGAATAAATGATTTTAAGGCCCAAATGTGGGGACTTAACTCAGGTCTCGTTTACTTAAGCTGATAGGATAGGATATGGTTGGATAAATTATGTTATCCAACGTTTACTTACTAACCATGATGAGATTGGATAATAAGCGGATGTGTCCTGTGGGTCCCACGCTTTTATGCACGATTGACAGGATTATTTTGTCCCGTCTTGAGGGTGGAACATTTTAGTCCCACCTTAGAAATGATCACTTTGTCCAATTTTTTGGCATGTGAAATGTCTCTTTTACCTTTAGAAGTCCACCAAATTATAGGCCATATAAATATATTTTGCTGCCACCTCATATTTTGCTTTTTATCCTGTCATTTTATCCACACTTGATTGTTTTTGCCTTAAAATGCATCATGTTTTGTAAACATTGGACACAAGCTGACGTGTAAAGTTGATGGAATTAAACTGTCAAATCCCATCATTTTAAGTAAACGAGGCCTCACATGGGAAAAAAATTGAGTGTAAGTTAATTGCTTGTGGACTCGGATCTTCTTTCATGTAGCTGATTGCTAGCAAAATGTCACTTGGAATTTATACGAGTGAAGGTTCGTATGTTGAAGATAAGATGCGGTTGACTTTTGCAGAATTTCTCACAAAAAAATAAAATAAAATAAATAATAATAATAAAATAAAATTAAATAAAATGGAAGCAAAACGAAAACAACTAATATTGGTTAAAATTTTATGGTACCTAAAGATGTATTTTACTTTTTTAGTTATATGAAATCGGACAATTTTGTTTGTGTGGTTGCAGGATGAAATAGATAGCCTTGCCAAAAACTACCCTGGCAGGTTCTATGTTTACTATGTACTCAACCAGGCAAGTATGCTATTTTTTTTTTTTTT